AATAAGTGAAAGGGATTAGGAGTACTTATCTTGATGAGCACTGAGTAATACATGAAACTGTTGAATCACTGTATTGTACACCTGAAACTAATATAACACTGTTTGTTAACCACACAGGAATTAAAATAAAAATGAATAAAATACAGTAAAATATAAAATAGAGAGAACAAGATAATAGGCCAATTGATAAAAATAAATAAATAAAGACAGGATAACTGATTTTTGATGTAGTTAAAAGAACCTTGGAACAGGAAGTAGAAAATCCAGATATGAAACCCAGATCCACTGCTTACTAACTGTATGCATTTGAACACATCACGTAACTTCAATAAATTTCAATTTCCTCACTTGCAGAATATCAATAAGCTTTTTATCTTACTAGGGTCATTTCAAGATTAAATGAGATAATAGTTCTTCAATAAATAGATTTCCTTCCTTTCATTTTCTCCTCTGACTCCACCTCTATTTGGTCTTGAAGGAATTGGTTATAAACCAACTCAGAATCAGCCATCAGAAGTTCTATGATTCTAAAGGTTTTGTAATGAGAAGTGGAATACCTGATTTTGAGGATTATCCATGGCCTTTCCTCTTCCTCTTCCTTTCTGCTCATCAGTCTCTTACTATACACTAGCACACCAGAGGGCAGGCAGAAAAATAGAGAGGACACAGTAGATTGCTTATGAAATTTTGCTAAATTGATAAATTAAGGAATAAATGATGTAAAATCAAGTAGTTGAGTTATATTTCAAGAGGTAAATCAATATGGCCAGACCATAGGACACTCTTAACAATCCCTTCAAGTGGACAGAAAAGTTGCAACTGAAACTTAATGTAGTCACTTTATGAAAAAAATTCCAAATTTTATATTCAAAATAACAAACCAGAAAATAATCCTGGGGGTCACTGTCAATCATTTTCCAAAGACATCCCAGTTTTTTTGCTACAGGAAAAAGCCTACATGATTTTGAATATCTCAGCAATAAAGGAAATAGAGGTTATTATCCCCTTCATGAAGAAGGCTGTGGAGCCGGTGCCTCTAAAATATTTAGTCTAGTTCTGTTTGCTATAATGGCAGGAATACATAATGAAACTGGAGGCAAGCCAGAGAAAAGAAGCCAAATTGGCAGGTGAGAGGAAGACTAGAAACATTTAAATTCTTAGAAAAGAGTCCAGCATATTCCTGATAGGAATCAGCATATTCCTGATAAATCATAAATAGTTTAAGTTATCAAAGGCCTATTATATGCTGGGGACTGACTAGAATGCTTCCCTTTTTTTCAGATCAAAAATATGTTCAAATTATAACCTCCAATATATCTCATATGCATACACTTCTCTTCTATCCACTGCCATCACCCTGGCTCAAGTCATCTTTCTTTCTCATTTAGGGTACTAAAATAGCATTCTAACTGGTCACCCTCTTCTACTCTGCTCCTCATAACCATGTTCCAACTTCCCAATCCATTGCCACCAGCATGATTGTGAAACACAAATTAAATCTTGTCATTGGCTTACATAGAATACTTCAGTGATTTTCCATCTACTTCGGGATCAAGTCCAAAGTGAAAACATGGCCCCAAAAGATTCAGCTCCTCCCTCCTTTACTAATAGCCCCTCACTTTACTTTTCCTTTGGCTCACCAAGGTCTATCTACACTGGCTTTCTTTCAGTTCCTAGAACAGCCAAATGCTTTTCCATACAAAAATAACCACCACCACCACCATTACAGCTTAAATTTCTCAAGTTTTTATTATGTGAATGCCTCTGTGGTAAGTGCTTTGAGTGCATTACCACGTTTAATCCTCACAAGAAACTCTATGAAGTAGTTATTATTTTTATCCTTTTACTGTTGAGAAAACAAATATTTAGAGAAATTAAGTAATTTCTCTAAAGCAAGATAAGACCAAAGGTGGAAATCTGTTATACTGCATATTCCAGGAATGTTCTTTCTCCCCACTCTTCCCTAGCTAGATCATACCATGCTTTATGGTTACAACTTGTATGTCATTTCCTCAAAACAGACCTCTCATTTTCTGATCTAAATTTGGCACCTCTGACACAGTCCCTTAAACTTTTCCTCTATAGAATGTATCACAGTTTATAATTATGTATTTTTATGCAGGTATTTGTTTAAAATCTGTCAAACCTCCAACAGACTATAAATTTCATGAAGGCAAGGATAATATGAATATAAATATAAACATAAATATAAATATCTGCTGAATAAATGATTGAAGAAAGTCATCCAAACCTTCTAAGAATGAAGTGTTGAATCACTCCATGGGAGAGTCTGAGTGTTAGAAACTCTATTAAAATATTTTTGCCTGCAAAGAAAGCTGTCCCCTTATGTCTATCTACTGATCCTAATTCTCTTGATCAATACTAAAAAACTAGATTCTTTTCTCTTTTATACCTCTTCAACTACTTTCAGCCTAGAAAGTTAAAGACAAAGAGGACTGGCAATTAAGGTGGGATAATTCCAGATTCATAAAAAAATAGTATGCTAGAGTGAAGAGGATGAGGGGCATCTTATGGAATTACAGACTTTTTAGGGTACATTTATAGAAATTAATTATTTGCCTACAGTAAATGAATGTAAGAAGTATATAGATATGAAATATAGATGGGGCTACTGTGCTTGGCATGCTGTATCACAAACTGGGTTCTAATTTGTATAGATCTAGAAAGAAACAAAACTGGAGGAGGTCCAGTTAAAGGTAATTAAAAGACTGTACAAAAAGATTGGGAAAAGTAAAAACTAGCTATGCAATTACAACTAACCTTAGTATCCCCAAATTACAAGACTGATGTCAGGAAATGCAATCATATCTTCCCATATCTCTTATGAGTTTTGTTTTAACAAAACTCTGGATTAGATGAACTATATTTCTAAGATTTTGAAGTTAATAAGATAAAATAAAAGCTGGAGATTACCAAGAGCCAAAATAAAATGCTCTTTAGGCATTTTATATATTTTAATTAACTCAATACAGTCACTTAAGTTTTTTAAGTCTATCTCCCATCTTTAATGACAAAGATGGAACCTCAAAGATGAAATGGCCCTCTTGTTTGATAATATATTTGATGTTTGAAGTCTCTCTACAACTTGTAGTCCAAGTGGCTGTTAGCTAACAAGTAAACATCCTCAGCTATATTAAATGACTTGATGATGGGGGGATCCTTAAATCATCACGTACACTTTAAATATCTTATAACTTTGTCAGTTATACCTCAATAAAGCTGGGGTATGATATTTTGGATTTTGAGATTTAGATTTTGAGTTTGGATCTCTAGGTTTAAATCTCAATTCTGTGATTTATTAGCTATGTAACTTTGAACAGGTTACTTACTGTGCTTCAGTTTCCTCATTTCAAAAACTGGAATAACAAAATGTGTCTTTTAAAATTGTTTGAGAATTAAATGCAAAGCCACAATATTAAACATCACTTTGTATTATGCCTGGCATATAGCAAATGCTCAATAAATGTTAATTTCCCTCTAATAATAGGAATCCAGTCTCTGCCAAGACAGTCCATTTCCACTTTAGACAGAACTGGCACTGGGTTCTTATACTGTGTGGAACTAGTCCAACACTACTAATAAGTAATAACACTTAGAAGTTTAATATACGATGTTATATTAAGAAAAGACGCTCTTGGGGTGCCTGGGTGGCACAGTCAGTTAAGTGTCTGACTCTTGGTTTCTGCTTAGGTCATGATCTCAGGGTTGTGAGATCAAGCCCCACATTCGGCTCTGGGCTCAACACTAAGTCAGCTTTAGATTCGCTCTCCCTTTCTTTCTGCCCCTCCAGCTCATGCCTCACTCACTCTCATTCAAATAAATAAATAAATAAATCTTACCAAAAAAAAAAAAAATTGGTATTTTTAACTTTGGCTATTAATTCTAGTTTATATATATTTCTTAACAATTTGTCACTCAGAAATGGTAGAATTTAATTTCTTTGAGTGACCTTAGAGAAATATGAGTTACAATTATATTAGAGAAGAACTCTTGAATAATCTTATTGATGTAAATGTTCCACTGGAATTACCTTCTCAGTAAAAACAAGAACAAAAAATTCTCTTTCTAGTGATTAAGGATTAATTGGTATGGCAATGATCTTTTAAGACTAAAGGGATTCTCTCCTTATTTTTATTAAGAATTAATGACAAAAAATAAGAGTATCAGAAATGTATTGCTGTTTTATCACAAGACCAGGAAATATAATTGTTTGATTACTTGATATTGCAAAACACTTTTTTAGAAAAGTTTATTTTTATTTAGGTCATAAGATAGGTTAGAAGGAAAAGAATTTGCTCATTTAACCTATTAAATGGTACCACTTGTTTTGTGATAACCCAGCACACTTTGTAAATAAATTCACTTGCCTTGCATCAATGTAATTTACTACTTTATAGATGTTATATGGGTTCATTTGTTAGAAAATATTTTAGCTGGCTTTCCCCAGTACAGATAATAAAATTATTTCTAACATATATGATTCAAATACAATACAAAGCCTCCTACTACTACAGAAATATAAATTTAAACAAATCAAACTTTTTTTGAGGAAAGAAATTACAATATGCTTTCCAATACTTTACCTCTTAGCTTAATCTTTCAAATCTAAAGAAAAATATTTTCAGACTTAATACCTTACTATTTTATGGCTTGGTAAGTTATAGCTTTTTAATAATGAAAAATATTAAGGTCAAATTTAGATTGAAATGATCAGAACTAAAATTAAAGACCAAATATTAAAAACAAGAATGCTCCTCGTATTATAAATATAATTTATATTGGACAAAAATATCAGTAACTCTATTTTCCCTCATTCTCTTGTAGAGTAGTTTTTATTTGTTACATCACAAGTGACTTTAAATTTGTAGGAGCTAAGAATTTTTTATTCTGAATTTAATTAAGCACAGATGATGGTTAACATGACTCCTAAACATGCTTACAGATGACAGTAAAAATAAAAGAGCATAAAATAAGCTTACTGTTTCACCAATCTTTCCAATGTTTCCTTGATCTCCTACTTCGCCCTGTTAATAAATAATATAAAGCTGTAAAAATGATTATTTTTCAAACAAGGTCACTCATGACATTCCTTCCATTTTCATTTAATGTAATTAGTCAAATTCTTTAAAAAAAAGCAAAGAAAACCTTATTTAAAACTCTGTTACAGTATTTCTGTGGAACATAGTCTTTCTACTATTTTCTTAAGTTACATTCTTCTATTTATGACTTTTAGTCACTTTTAAAACAATTTTGCAAATAGAATTTTTTAAAACGAAATATTTATTAAGGTGTACTCTGTAAAAGAGTGGTAGGTGCTGTGGAATATATTAAGAAGAATAAAAATAAAATAAAGCCTTTGCCCACAGGAATGCTCTATTTGTTTCAGGAGAAAAGATCTTACAATGCTGAGCAGAGCAGAATACCTGCCACAGTTAAGAGGTAAGGAGTTCAGAGGAGTACGCACACTGTGGGCTGGTTCAGCTAGAGTTGGCTTCACTGGGGAAGTGATGTATGCTCATAACCTTAACCACAGTCTGTAGTCCATAATGCTCTGAAAACTCAGTTTTTCAAAACTTGTTTGGTAGCAAACTTGACCTAACCTGAATTTGACAGCAATGCTTTATCTGACCTGAGTGAGGCTATTTATAGTCTTGTTTATTTTAATTAATCTGAACACCCTTATACTGTACCACAGAAATATTAATGTTTCTAATTATGGTGTGCTGTCCCATGGCCTGCTGGTGGTGTTAAGTAAAATGTAGTATATTCAGCATATTACCTTTTGAAAATCCAAACATCAATGATTTCAAGTAATGGATTATGAAAATATATTTGAGTTGGGCTCTGAAGAATAGGTGATATGTCCCTGGTGATGAGAAAGGTCCATTTTTGATGTTGAGGAATGGCATAAGTGAAGGCCAAAAAAGGCACAGATTAATGAAATGTAGAAGATTAAATTCAGGGTACCATGTAGAGTTAATATGACAAGAATATTTGTTTTATTTAGAAATCAAACCATCAATTGCTATTTAAGAATTAATAATTATATTGCAGGGTAGAATAGTAAAATGTTAAGCTGCACTGAACAATACTGTAGCCACTGATAACATAGAGATAGCTACTGAGCATTTGAAATTGGCTGGTGTGAACTGAAATGTGATGTAAGTATAAAATCCACACTAAATTTCAAAGACTTTGTAGCAAAAAAGAATATAAAATATCTCATTAATAATTCTAATATTGATCACATGTTGAAATGATAATATTTTTCTATTTTGGGTTAAATAAAATATATTACTAAAATTAATCTCATTTGTCTCTTTTCATTTTTTTTACTGTGACTCACATCTGTGATTCATGTTATATACTCTGCTGGATAGTGCTGATTTTAAGCACTGAAACCTAATATTCATATGAGTAATCAATCTGAAATGAAGTTTCAAAGACTACACAAATTTTCATTTCAATTCCTGTATACACTTAGATATACAGTAAAGAATGAAGCAGGGGCGCCTGGGTGGCTCAGTCATTAAGGGTCTGCCTTTGGCTTGGGTCATGATCCCGGGGTCCTGGGATGGAGCCCAGCATCGGGCTCCCTGCTCAGCGGGAAGCCTGCTTCTCCCTCTCCCTCACTTGTGTTCCCTCTCTCACTGTGTCTCTCTCTGTCAAATAAATAAATAAAATCTTAAAAAAAAAAAAAGAATGAAGCGTTGCAGTAGTTTGTAAATCCTCGTTTTTGACTGACTAGATAGCTTCTTTAGAAAATTTGTGGCAGAATAATATAGATTATTTATTTTCTTGTATTTCCCCCTCCTTACCCAATACCCCTTTCAAACTCCAAGGGAGATGGACCGTTTTATGCTTCGTAGTCTTAGGGGAGGTTTGTGTTAACAGGCAGAAAGCAGAAGTTGCTTGCAGATTACCTGCATTCCTGCTTTAGTTTTCAGAGAGCCTGAAGGTAGGAGGTTAAGTTGGTCTTTGAGGGCAACAAGAGAGAAAGGAAGAGTTCCCCAGGCCTAGGAAGAGAACAGAGATCCTAGGGTTCTGTAAAAGGTGGTGTGACCCTTAATCAACTCCCAAGTCCTCCCCCCAGGAATGCCAGGTTCCCCAAAGGGAATGCCAAGTTCTAGTGAATAGCTATATGACATACCAAGACTAAAATTCCAGGGACAAATACAAGGAGCTAAACATGAAAGAACTCATTCATCTCCTGGGTTACAATGAGCCACTTAAATGCTAGGGTGATTCTAGTAAGGGGACAGGATGTCACTAAGATTCAGTTTCTTGCCTGTTTGACTAGATGGTAGCTCACAGGTGGATTTTTTTTAGAGCTATCTGGGAGAACAGCAACTAAACTCAGTCAAGGAGAATTAAGCTTTCTGTTTATAAATATCGTGTTTCCATTTTTGTGTATAACTTTTGTGTACAGAGAAAACATTTTAGCTCATTTTTCTTTATTAGTTGACCTCAAAAAATATTGTTCATTTTTTTCTTAGATTCTACTATCACAAAAATAGCTTAATATAGCTTCTAACTTTAAGAAATTTAGCTATAATGCTATAAAGTTTTTGATTTTTCCTTAAGTTTTAAATTTGTATAAATCACCAATTCTTATAAGCTAGTTTCCTTTAGACCTTAGTGTTGCACATATAAAACCAGTGCATTACCTTATATTTGTTGGTGTTAAAAAGTCACACAAAACTTGGAAACAAGGCAAAAAATTAGGTGCCACATTCTTTAAATGACATAAAGTGGTGAAGGCCACCTAGTGATTTTCTAGGGAATGTCCTTAGAATCACTATACAATTGCTTAAAAGACCCAGACTTGATGAAGATATATATATATATATATATATAACAAATAGATAATATATATTTAGTGAAGTTATATTAATTTGTAGATTTCTGTCCAGTGAAATGGACAGCCCCCCAAATTGTGGTTTATTCTCCTATATCTCACCACAAATTTAACAATTTATTAAACTGCATATCTATCCAAATAAAGATATAGACATAAACACAGTCACAGTTATAGATATTTATAGACACAGATCTCTAGATGTAGATCTAGATATAAAGATATATAACTTTTCAAATGCTATTTGAGCCAGTTTTAAAATATCACTGGTTCCCTTATTAATAGGTTGAATAAAATCTTAGATGTTCATTTTATATTTTTATGAAAGTCATCATTTTATCTTTTTGAAAACTATACTTTATAACTCCTAATAAGTCAGCTACGTTACCTTTAAGCCTTCTGGTCCTGGTTCACCTGCAAAACCCTTTTGACCTGGTTTTCCCTAGAAGAGAACAGAAAAAAAGAGATACGTTTAATCATTTTCATTTTTGGAAATTTCCAAACATTTACAAAATTCAGACCATTCTATGAGATGAAACCCTTCAAAATCACTTGATAAATGTATTTTAGCATACCCATTAGTATTCATTCTGCGGTCTTTAGCTGTCTACTATGCGCCCTGCACAGTTCTAGGGGTTGGGGATTGAGGAATGCACTAAGCCTACCTGCCTTCATAGAGCTTACATTCTAATGAGGATGATAACATTTAATAAAATAAGTAAAATATATAGTATGTTAGGTAGTGGTAAATGTGAAGGACATAGAGTTAAGCAAGGAAGGGAGATATAAACTGTTGTGGGAGTTTTGCTCAAATTTGTGATAAGCTTGACAAGAAAGACCTCACTGAGAAGATGGCAGCTGAGTAAAGGCTCACAAGGGACAAGTTGTATGACTATCTGAAGGAAGAATAGTCCAAGCAGAGGAAAAGAGCATGTGCAAAGGCCCTGAGGCAAGAATGTGACTGGTGTGTTGAAGAAACCATGAAGAGTCAATAAAGCTGGTGCAGAGTAAGAAAGGAGATTAGTAAGATGAGGTCAAAGAAAGGAATGGGGAATGGGAAGCCAGGTCATGTAGGGCCTGAAGGGTTACAGTTAGGGCTTTGCTTTTTACTCTGAATGAAGCAGGAAGACTTAGAAAAGTCTTGAGACTTGAGAAAAGTAGTGTCATTATCTATGTTTTAACAGGATCACTTTGGTGCAAGGGTGGAAGCAGGCAGTACAAAGAGGACTGAAATAATCCAAGTGAAAGATGACAGTGGCATAGACCAGGGTGGTAACAGAGGAGGTTATGAGTAAAACTGTGTATATAATTTGAAGGTAGAGCTTACAGGATTTGCTGACAGGTCAAGTGTAAAATGTGAGAGAAAGAGAAGAATCAAGAATAAACTCAAGATTTTAATCTGAGTAAGAGACTAAATGAAATGAGGAAGATTCTAAGAAGAAAGGTTTGGAGGGTAAATTGAGAGCTCAGTTGTGGACACTGTAGTTTGATAGTCTTGTTAGATATTTAAAGTAGAGAGATCTTGCAGTAGTTTTACATGTCCAGAGATCCAGAGGGTAGAAAATTCTGATCTGAACATATGATTTGGGCAATCACCAGCATTCTGATTGTATTTAAAGCCCTAAGACTGGACCAGCTCATCTAGGAGTGAGTGTAAATAGAAAAGAGACTAAGTCCACAAACCAAGCCCTGGGTTTTGTGGATTTACAAAATTTTGGAATTTGAAGAAATGAGGAAAATATGCAAATTTCCTGCCAGAGGGTTAGGAAGAAGATCATGTAAGTGAAGAAAGTGCTTCCAGGAGGAGGGTGTGATCTTGTCAAATGACCATTGAATTCAGCAACATGGAAGTCACTGATGACCTTCATAAGATCATTTGTTTTGGAGTGGTGGGGACAAGAACGGTTTCAGCAGATAGGGTGAGGAGAAAAACCGTAAAGAGGATGTATAGACAATACTTCTGAAATTTTTTTACTGAAAAGGTAAGAAGAAAAAGGTAACACCTGAAAGAAAACCTGGGATCAGTATGTTTTGTTTTATGGTTTTCAAGCTGGAAGAACTAATAGCATTTTTCTTTGCAGATAGGATTGATCCATTAGAGAGAACGAAATTAAGATGCAGGCGAAAGTGGGAAATAGCTGGGTCAATGTTCTTCAGTAGGCCAAAGGGTAAGATATTTAGTAAACAAGTGGAAGATTTGACCTTGGCTAGAAAAATGGCCTCTTCATCCACAATAACAGGAGGGAAGGCCAAGTAAATGGTATAGATAAAGAGGAGATAGAAGCAATAGTAAAAACTTGTAGAAGTTCTCTGAACACTTCAATCTTCTCAGGAAACTAGGATGCAAAGTAATGGGATAAGAATGAAAATTAGAGAGAAATGAATGGAGTTGAGAAAAGAGAAAGTGTAAAATAATAATTAGAAAATTAAAAGTAAATGAGAGGGGGTGGGGGCTGGGGGTGTTAAGCATCTGCCTTCAGCTCAGGTCATGATCTCAGGTCCTGGGATGGAACCCTGTATCTGGCTCCCTGCTCAGCTGGGAGTCTGCTTTTCCCTCTGCCCCTCCCAACCTTGTGTGCGTGCTCTCTTTCTCTCTCAAATAAATAAATAAAATCTTTAAAAAAAAAGTAAATGACTATGGGAATAAAATTCAGAATGCAGTCAAGGGGATAATTTAGTGTTTTAAGCATGAGGAGGGATGTGAGGTCTCTGAGGAAAACAGGAATAATGGAAAGGCAATAGGATCACTAGCTTAAATTTCCTATTGGGACTGTTGGATTGTTGACGAGAGAATGAACTAGAAAGAAAGGAGATTGTGGTTGGGGAGTGAGAAGTTTGAAACTGAAAATAAGGAGGTGCTATTACCAGTAATAACAAAATAAAGGTTATGACTACAGCAGGTAGTGCCTAAAGAGAGTAGAGAATAAGATCACTGAAGAAGAGCAAGTCAAAATCCCAGATATTGGTAGATCAATCCATAGTATGTGGTTTCTAGTATCAAACAACTGATATCTGATTATACAAAATTTGATTAAGGAGATCACTATGCCTCAATCAATGTGTGTGACAAATTCAAATCTAAGAGTAAAAAACATGTGGGGGGTAACTGCTAAATAGAATACTAATTTACAATACCTATCAGGTATTATAGATTTGGATTTGATTATTCCTATCCATTAACAAACACTCCTATTTTTCTTTCTTAAAACAAAACAAAACAATCCTCCAGCTTTCATTGTATTTTGACTACATGTAAAAACTTTAGCAACTTAAAAATTATATTTAGGACTTTGATCAAAAAAGCTGCTCTAATTTTTACCTCTGCCTTGCTTGGAATTGTCTAGTGGTTTTCTACCAAGCACAAAGAAAAGCAAAGAATAAAAAATCATCCTATTATTGTTAAATATCAATTGCGCTCTAAACAGAGATAGGAGAAGAAATGTAATTAAGAGTCTAAATTACTAGATTTGTCTATGATATTCACAAAAAAATTTTAAAATAATACATTTTATTCACATTGTTTTGGAAAAAGCCTTAGTGAGAATATTTCTTTCATCTCTAATAGTGTAATACTCAAGCATTGCAGTATATTAAGAAATAGTTATACATCATATCTACATTATGAAAGGAATCTCCCTGGAACCTGTATCAGCACATTTAAAATCTCTTTGAAGTCAAGAAATTCAGGGCATCAGTGCTGGAGTCATTACTTCTGGTCCTGTTTACGTTCTGCCATATTTGCTTTATCTTGAGCATGTTACACTTGAGCACGTAAGAGTAAGGCCTTATTTTAATATTTTTAAAATGTGGACAATATCCTGCAGGGTTGTTTTCAGGATTAGAGATGATTTATGTGACATACTTAGAGCAATACTAGGCTTAAATTGATCTTCAACCAATAGTAGCAACAATAGTAATACATATTAAGACTGAGTTGATAAGAGGCAAACGTGGTTCTACTGTTTTCTAGAGAAGTAAATTTTAAATGAGATCAATTATACTGGGCTCAAATAACAATAGTCTTCCTGTTATATAACTCACCTCACAAAAAATGAAATAAAAATTCTTCTTTTTCTTTCAGTGGGATAGTGTAGTATATGTGCTAGCGAGGTAAAGGTGCAAAAGAAAAATTTACTATCTCCTTAAATGTAAAAATGTTTTAAGAATCTGCATGTTATGATGTTCTCAAGAAAAAAAGATGATATGTATTTCATGTGAGTCTAATGATCCCTCTTAAAATAAATGTGATACACACACTTTAATTATTTCATAATAAGGTAAGCTTTGGTCATGCATGCCCAAATTCTTAAATAACTCATTTTCAGAACTTGAAAACAGGTAATTCATATATTACCACACAATATTATCTGAAGAAAAAGTTGACAGAAAATACATCTTAGTTTCCATAATTTTACTGGCACATTTAGAAAACAGAAATTCCCAGAATATCACTAAAATGGCTAAGGTATTTAGCTTTCTATTACATTTTGAGAAACTTTATAATTAGCACAAATTACTAAGACCGTAAAACTACTGAAGGAACAAGCAAATACGCAGTAGGCATATCATTTAAAATATTGCTGGGAAATTCCAGTTATAAGCCTATATTGTTTGGATAGACTGTATGGTTATAGTGTCTTTGTCCTTTATTATAACTTAAAATTTGGTGCTATTAAAAGACATTCACATAACAGTAATTTTAAGAGAAGCACTTTTTGAAAAAGTATTTATATGATACCTACTCTTGGCCCCAGTTCTCCAAAGGGTCCAAATGGTCCTTCTTCTCCCTTAAAAAAAAAATCAGAACATATCATGGCCTGAAATAAGTATTTAAAAAGGTAAACCCTTATTCTATTTATTCTGAAATCTGAAACTCACTGAGATGTGATGCAAATAATGCTGTGACTTTCTTGTATTTTTTTTAAAAGATTTTATTTATTTGAGAGAGAGAGAAAAAGAGAGACCAAGCAAGAGTGGGGGGATGGGCAGAGAGAGAAGTAGACTCCCCGCTGAGTGGGAAATTGGAAGTGGGGCTGGATCCCAGGACCTTGAGATCATAACTTGAGCCCAAGTCAGATGCTTAACCCACCTACCCACCCAGGTGTCCCAACTTTCTTGTATTTTACTGTGCCATCCCATAACATTTTAATATTTTGAGTAACAACCCCACATCTACCCTAAAGGGGACATGCACTATTTGACTGTTTTTAAATAGGTAGATGATAAAAGTTATATATAGAAAGTTGAGAATGAATAAGAGTGAAAGTGATTAGGATATCTATCACAAAATCAAGATATCTGAAAGGGGGTTAATATCTAAAACATATGAAGAACTTATACAACTCAACACCAAAAGCCCAAAAAATCCAATTAAAAACGAGGACCTGAATAGATATTTTTCCAAAGACAACATACAGATGGCCAACAGACATATGAAAAGATGCACAGCATCCCTAATCATCAGGAAAATGCACATCAAAACCACAACAAAGATTAAGAATCACTGAAATCATAAGTTAAGGATAACCTTTACTTTCTTGCACTCAGTATTTCTCCCATCCAGAGAGGAACTCAATTAAGTTCTTAATAGATGGAAATCAATATATCTTGGTATATTAAAAAGTTACTGGTACAGGACATGTTTGCTCTTGGCACATTTTAATACTTCATTCATTCAATAAATATGGTTTTGAGTCTTAGTTCTGTTTTCAGCCTTAGAGATACAAAGGTATATTGGATCCTACCAAATGGAGTTAATATCTAGAGCTTCTTCTTGACTAACTTATAGTATTGGGGTGAAACCAGTTATAATGTCATAAAAAGGCAAAATCTTGTGCATTCTTCTAAGGATCAAAAAAATTTATGAGTGGATAGAGAATAGAGAAACATCAAAAAAAGAATTTTTATATATTATTCTCTAAGAAAATTAAAAATTAATAAATTTTTTATTACATTTATTGACATATTTTCTAAAACATACTGACTTTTCAACTTTAAATAAAAAGTTGATGTTACCATATCTGAATAGCATCCATAGACCTATTTAGCAACATGTATTCTATTTTATTTATTTGATCAACAAACATTTTGCTCAATTCACAATTCACTTAAAATAAAATTTACTAGGTCACAAATATAAAACAGATACAAATAGTAAATATATATTCTAGTATATATGAGTGAGATTCTAGCTCATATTCTTCAGATATTCCATGGAGGTCACCGACATAAATTACTTAATGAATTTACACTGAAGATGATTCCCAAATCCCATTCCATAACTGCCAATATAAAATGATAACCTGAAATCCTCTATGGCAAAAACGGTCCACACTAAAGCAATGTTTTTCTTTAAACAAAAAATAAAAAGGGAAAATTTGAACTAAAACAATTGCTGACTGGATATTTATTTCTTCCATACCTGAAGTCCTTTGAGACCAGGCGGTCCAGGAGGCCCCCTATTTCCAAGGAGTCCCTATAAAAGCAACATAAGCACAAATAATAACTTTATCCCAATTAATATTTTTAAATCAGCATTAATCTGGAGATGGCAAATACAATTTGGTACCATTCCTTTTCCATTATTAAGTTATCAAAATGAGGTCAGAGGGTAGGTGAGCAGGAAACTACAGGACATCCAAAAAATTGGGAAAGGTGGGATAAACTTATTTTTTTAGTATGTTGGTGTTCAAATAATCTTCTCAGTATGTTACTCTTCAACCAGACACTCAGAAAAAGTACTTCTAAATTTAAAGCAATGAGTGCAATTGTTAATTTGATAATAGCACAATAAATACATACTAGAGTATCCACAAAGTCTAAAAACAGATGGAAGCGATATGCACTATTTAATATCTGTTAAGAGACTAGCAGAATCCAGAACACATTATTTGCACTACATGTTCCTCAGCTTATTTCCCTTCTTAATACAAGCTGGTAAAAAGAGGGCAATTTGCAGAAGAAAGTAACAATCTGAATGTGATTAGGAATTTCACGATTAAAAAAACTCTTTTGTTAATCAAAATCAAAATCAATGTTTTTAAAAATCAAATGCTCTCTGAATAAAAATTCATTAAAGTCACTTAAAAAAAAACTTTCTATTCCAGAAAACACCCTACAGTATCTATTTAACATGGTGACATTTTTCTTATTCGGTTCTGTTCCACTAACTATACAATGTGTCAGCAAAGTTTTAAGTAAATCTCTTTTAAAAACTACCTTTTGCATTATTACTTTTAGTGATTCTATAACCATTTTTTCTAATTTTTAAATGTAGTAAATAACTATGCCAAATAGTGAACCTATCCAGGTGGGTTTAATCTTTAGTTCCAGAATGCAGCAGAGTGATAAACTGCACAAGAATCTTGTCTTCATATTATACCTTGCTCTATCATTGCTATGTTCTAATATAATCAAAAAATGAAAAACTCTTGGTCGGTTTTACAGTCTATAATATAGTATCACAAGCTTATGTATATAGCACCATTTAAGAAACTGTATGAATTTAAGCAATAACATTTTTGTGCAGCTATCTTATTTTTTTATTGGAAGAGATGGATTAGATTATTGAAATGGGTGTATGTTCTTTGATGCAAGTCCAACATACATTTGCAAAAGCATCCTAATTTTACTTAGGGAAACACTTTCTCCTCACTCAGCCCACATGATTGAGGGGAGGTGAGTCCACCCCCGACTAAATTTGAGGGTTGACATGTGACATGTACCTAAGTCAGTCAGCATATTCTATACCCTGGAAACAGTGATTAGTTCAGTAATGAGCCAGAAACCCAATTCAGTCTAACTAAAGGAAATTTTAGACTACAGTGGAACAGCTGGGAGTAGCATTAAGGATGATGTAAACCTCTTTGACATCGGCCACAGCAACTTCTTTCAAGATACATCTCCAAAGGTTAGTGAAACAAAAGCAAAAATGAACTTTTGGGACTTCATCAAGATAAAAAGCTTCTACACAGCAAAGGAAACAGTCAACAAAACAAAGAGGCAACCCACAGAATGGGAGAAGATATTTGCAAATGACACTATAGATAAAGGGCTGGTATCCAAGATCTATAAAGAACTTCTCAAACTCAACACCCAAAAAAACAAATAATCAAGTCAAAAAATGGGCAGAAGACATGAACAGACACTTCTCCAAAGAAGACATACAAATGGCTAACAGACACATGAAAAAATGTTCATCATTAGCCATCAGGGAAATTCAAATCAAACCCACACTGAGATACCACCTTACACCAGTTAGAATGGCAAAAATTGACAAGGCAAGAAACAACAAATGTTGGAGAGGTTGTGGAGAAAGGGGAACCCTCTTACACTGTGGGTGGGAATGCAATGCAAGTTGGTACAGCCACTTTGGAAAACAGTGTGGAGGTGCCTCAGAAAATTAAAAATAGAGCTATCCTATGACCCAGCAATTGCACTACTGGGTATTTACCCCAAAGACACAGATATAGTGAAAAAGAAGGGCCATATGCACCCCAATGTTCATAGCAGCAAGGCCCACAATAGCCAAACTGTGGAAAGAGCCAAGATGCCCTTCAACAGATGAATAGATAAAGATGTGGTCCATGTATACAATGGAATAGTACTCAGCCATCAGAAAGGATGAATACCCAACATCTGCAACAACATGGGTGGAACTGGAGGAGATTATGCTAAGTGAAATAAGTCAAGCAGAGGAATGCCTGGGTGGCTCAGTTGCTTAAGCAGCTGCCTTCGGCTCAGGTCATGATCCCCAGGTCCTGGAATTGAGTCCTGCATCGGGCTCTCCGCTCAGCAGGGAGCCTGCTTCTCCTTCTGCCTGCCGCTCCCCCTGCTTGAGTTCTCTCTCTCTCCAACAAATAAATGAATAATATCTTAAAAAAATAGTAAGTCAAGAAGAGAAAGTCAATTATCATATGGTTTCACTTATTTGTGGAACATAAGGAATAGCATGGAGACATTAGGAGAAGGAAGGGAAAAGTGAAGGGGGCAGAAATCAGAAGGAGAGATGAACCATGAGACAGTATGGACTCTGAGAAACAAACTGAGGGTGTTAGAGGGGCGGGGGTGTGGAGATGTGTTAGCCAGGTGATGGGTATTAAGGAGGACGGTGATGGGTATTAAGGAGGGCACGTACTGCATGGAGCACTGGGTGTTATACGAAAACAATGAAGCGTGGGTCACTACATCAAAAACTAATGATGTATTGTGTAGTGACTAACATAACATAATAAAATACAATTAAAAAAAAAAAGATGATGTAAACCTAAAGAGTGGGAAACCAGGAAGTGGAGAGAGCCTGAGAACAAAATCCATAAATTAACAAATGAAAAGAGCAGGAGTAATTGGATTCTAATGATATTGTTTCTGGTCCTGGATTTAGTTGTTTGAATTCCTAAACTTTTCTCAGATTTATATAATCACGCTTAAATTGTTTTCATCACTTACAAGTGAAAGAATTCTGAGTGATAAAATGATTTCTAACTCTTTAATATCCAAAATAGTCTTCTAGATCTCTAAGTGATACGTTTTAAGTATTTAGACTGACTTAAGGTATGGAATCAGAATGCTCTGATATTTCCATTCCATCACAGGACAGCTAATGCTTAATTATTTAATTCATAATCATTCATTTTTTCATCCAACATTTACTGCTTTTCTACTATGCATTAGGTCCAATAAACAGCACATTAGGCCCTGAGTATACAAAGATGAAGCACAGTTCCTATTCTCAATGAATTCATAATTTCTTAAGGATGATGACACTTTAAAATAAAAATTAGTAAATAAGAGTTGTAATAGAAGTAGAAGCAGAAGGAAAGTATAATGGGAACTTACATGAAAGAGTACAGTCTTTTCTGGGAGGGTCAGAAATTTTTAAATGTTTGCGAATAATTTTATGCTTAGTTATGATAGGCTAATAAAAACTTACAGCATAAAATAAGCAGACACCACACAATTATTAACAACTTCTGGGGCTCAAAAGATATTGACAAATATACAATTTTAGATTATTGTATATGTGTAAGAAACTGGCTCAGCCCCATATCCAGGGTGTAACTAGCAGGGGGCTGAGTGACCAAAGAAAACTAGGTTCCCCTATTCTCTCATCGCAGCTATTTACTCTGCACAAGTGGTACCACTGTCCAAGAAACAAAAAATGACTCCCAGAAAACAGATAAACTCTTTTTCCTCTCTTCCAAGACCAATTTACAAACTTAAAAAGGTTATAAAAGCTGAGTTAAAAAAAAAAAAGAACTAGTTATATGCTCTTTATAAGAAACACACATAAAACAAAAATACAGGGAGATTTAAAGTCCAAAAAGTAGAAAAAGATATTCAAGAGATTCACCAGCCCCAAAATAGCTGAAATAATCACATTAATGTAAGATATAACAGACTTTAAGGTAAAACAGATTATTAGAGTTAAGAGGGTCACTAAATAATGTGTTCATCAGGAAGAGATTAAAAACTCTCAATTTTTAGGCAACAAATAAATTCCAAATACATGAAGTAAAAACTAATAGATAAATAAAGATAAATTGAGAAATCTAAAATTAGAGAGGGGAATTTTAATACATCTTTCAGAAATTAGTAGATCTAGTGGATAAAAACCAGTAGAAATAGAGAAGACTGAAATAGCAAAATTACTTGATCTTATGGCCATATGTAGAACAGTGAATCCCCAAGTTGGAGTTTACAAATTCTTTACAAGGACATGTGGAAGATTTGTGAAAACGAACCTCAAGAAAGAAAGAAGGCCATAAATGTCTACCAACAGTCATATTGATTAAACAATTATATCGACATAGTGGGTTACTATGTAGCAGTAAAAATAAATAAGCTGTAATTACATATATCAACCTAGAGCACTTGGAAAAGATAAGACTGAGTGGCAGGAGCAAATCACTGAAAATTTTATGGAGTATGATTCCATCTACATGAATTTCCAAACAAGCAAAACAACGAATATTGTGTATACACAGATGGTAAAAGTATGGCAAACACAAGAGAGTGGTTATCTATAAATGCAAGAAGGGAAGAGACAGATGTGATTAGTGAGGGATACTCAAGAAGCTTATAATGGTCTATTTCTTAATGTTAATACAGTTTGTTTTATTTTCATTGTTTAAACTGTGTGCATGTTTCATATTTGTCATGTTAAATACACAAATTCTTTTTTTTTAATTGGAAATATATAGAATCTGAAGTTGAGTCTGAACTTGATCCAGCTCTGAACATTCCTAGGGCTATAACCTGAGTTTCCTTATCTGTAGAATCATGTTACCATCATCATCATAAGGTTATTGCAAGAAAGAAAAGGGTACCTTGAATATAACAGGGACTCAATAATTATTAGTTTCCTTCTCCTTATGCACTGCATGTTGATTAGTGTTTTCAACAGTCTTTGAACTGATATTGCACTTATCTACCCTATATATTCACGACATTCATATTTATAATTTGCCATTGTAT